GGGTTCCCTCTATGAGCCTGGGTGGCTTTATGCCAGTCATATTCCTAATTCCTAGGAGGACTTAGATGGGAAAGCACTATCTGGAGGCTCTTCTGTATTACACTAGGGACCATTCTTTCCCTCATTAGCCTTGAAATCTCAAATATTGAAAGGAGAGCCATTGGTCTCCACTTAATGATGTTGCCAGTTGTGCAGCAAATCTTTTGAGAAGGGAGCATGCTGCATAGAGCAAGGAGAGAAAGTCATGACCGTTCAACAGTTTTACTGGAAAACAAGTGATTTGAAAGGCTGAGGGAAGGGAAGCTGAGAAGCATTAGTAAATAGTGCTTGATGAGGCACTTGGGTATGCCCCACGAGATGATCTCTGGAACGTTTGGCATGTGGGCCTCTTATCTCCACCCCACGCTCTCTCACACACGCTGAATGCAGGTCACGTTGTCAAAGATTTGCACTCTGTACGAAGACCATTTCACCTACTGCTGGCAAAGCCAAGGTTGCCATATGCAAGTTAGGCAAAATGACCTTCCTACTGTCTCCTGCTATCACAGGCTCCGTGCCAGCCACGCATTTTGGAAGTGTCGTAGACTTTCAGCATTATTATGGGGATAGTTTGTGGTTTGTCTTTCCAGGGTGCGGTGAGCAGTAAAGCCTGCCAGCTTGTTCAGTGTGGGTGTGCTCAGGGGATCGGCATATCCGAAGGCGTTGTGATAGAAATGGGTCACTGAGCAGAACACAAGCGAAGGGGCACAGCAGGGAGTTGGTCATGGCTTTGCACTGCCACGTGAACGCTATCTCAGACAGCATTACGTGCAGTAGCTTGAAATTATTCCCACCAAAGCTAGAAGTTTCGCCACTGATTTCAAGGAACAGATTAATAATTTTTAAACAAAAGGGAATTATTAATTTCTTCTCATTAACATTTGGGTAGTATGAGGTACAAACATTTGCTTATTCACTTTTGGATGTAGTTCTTCTGAAGATGATAATACCTTCTTTATGAGTAAAATGAACAGGTTTTGCCCTTTGCACAATTTGACCCTTTCAAATATCTCTGCAAAGCTGTAAAATGAAAACTGGGTTTCCTTCCACATTCAATGGGGTTTTGTAAGGTCTTTATCTTGTGTTTAAAATGACAAGTCATTTTAAAAGAGCAGCATGTGGTGCAAAGCAACTGTCAACTTTATATTGCTTTCATATTTTTGGATGCAGATGATAAAATATTTTACAAAGAAAAAATATACCAGGAATAGTTCATATATTTCTTTTACCTAAAATTGAATTTTCAGTATGTGAAAAATTTCCGTAGCAGCTTCAATCATAATGTGGGAAATTATGTTTGACATTGTTATTTTTAAAACCCAGCATCTTTATTGCACTTTTTTGTTGTGAAATATCGGAAGCAGAAAAAGGATCCTCTTCATTCTCATACTTGCAAATGACCTGGTGAAATTTAAAATCAAGGCATTTAGCATATGTAAGTGAGGTATAAATTCATTCCTCTTCACTTTTTTCATAGCAATAGTTTGAATAAGATAAACCGATAATACTGGTTTTGTTGTGCAGCCCCAGTAGGGCTTTCTTAAATGACCAAATCAAACCAAACATTCCTAGGATACACACTTATCCTTATGTTCAAAGGCAGCTGCTTTCCTTTATTGTTTGTAGCTGTTTGACTTTCCCTTTGGAGGTAGCGTTCCATAGGAAACATCACACAATTCTAGTATCTTTAGTGAAAAGCCCCAAACCCCTATTCAGCAGGCTCTGTACTGTCCTGCTGAGGTGTCTTGGGGAAAAAAGTTTCCTTCACAGAACGTCAGGGGTGGGAAGGGACCTCGAAAGATCACCTAGTCCAACCCCCCTGCCAGAGCAGGTCACACAGGAACACGTTCAGGCGGGTTTTGAGTATCTCCAGAGAAGGAGACTACACAACCTCTCTGGGCAGCCTGTTCCAGCGCTCTGTCACCCTCACAGGGAAAAAGTTTTTCCAAAGGAAGGGTCTGGTTTGCAGTCACCCCCCCTGTTCTCCCAGGCTCTGCATGTCAATGCAATCTGCGGGACTCAGGGTTTTTTAAATCCGACTGTGTTTCTTTAGGTGCCCTGTCCTGCAGAATATTGAAGTGGAACCTGGGCGGTATAAACTAATGATTTCAGGCCACTGGTGTGTGTTTGTAGCCCATGTTTCTGCAGACCAAACTAGACTGCAGTTTTTCTGGTAGGATCAGCCCTAAATGCCTAAATACACCTCCAGGAGCCCAGTTTAAGAACCAAAGTTTGTAAATGTTGGATCAGTCTTTTATCTGTTCCTCAGCTCTGCTTATGTTCTCTGCCACTGTAGAAATAAAACTAAAGTGCTGAATCCAAATATTTTCAGCTCTGAAATGCTTGCACATAGGGTGGGATATACTTCTGTCAGTAACATGCCGTCCTCTTGATGCACAGGGGAGTAGAGTAACTTCAGGCATTTGATTTAAATATATTACCTTGAAAATTGACAGGAAGAAATTGCACAGGGGACATATTTTCCTGATTTAAGTTCAAAAATAAATATAGCTGTAGCCTAAATGTGTATTTATCAGCATTGATGCCCTTTGGCCTTACTCCAGTGGACTTTTCTCACTGACATCAGTGGGAAAAAGATGGGCTCCACATAGGAAATCTGTGAATATTTTTTTCTTCTTCACATCCATCTATTTTAGGATGTGCTAAATGCTTGTTCTCTGTTGTAACATTAACATCAGTATGTGGAAACTTGGGTTGCTAAAATAAATCGGTGAAATGCAATATACATGACTTCACATGGAACTGCATGTACATTGTTCAGCACAAGCGCCCCGTGTCTACTCTGCCGTGCCAGCTTTATAGCCTGGTACACCCTATTGTGTCCTGCAGAAGGGGGGTGCTGTAGTGAGGCAGGCATGAGCTTTGTGCTGCCAGTATGTATAGAGTCTCTGTAGTTCCTGAGCTGGCAAAATATTTCTTGGTTGCCACCTACATGACAGTAAAACTGGTATTTTTACCAGCCTTAGAGTGTGGGGATGGCACGGTCTGTAGTATTGCACATCTGTTGCATTGTGGGCCTGATCGAGTATTTGCTGGAGGCAATGAAAGTTCCGTTGTTGATGTGTGAGACATTGATTAGAGCATTGACAGGCTCTAATTGTCTCTCTTTAGTTTCTGTAAGTTAGTGATATTGGCTCCAAACTACCCTGGGGCATTTTTCTGACTTTAGTAGAGCCCCTCCTGGTTTGTGCTGGTATGAATTAGCACTTTCTCAAGTTAATTTAGTTTTTATTTTTAATGGGAAAATGAAAGGGATAAGCTCTTTATGGGCTGGACTGTTTTCTGCCCACAGGGAAGTCAATGGGACAGTTGGACTTTGATGACAGTAACGAGGGGCTAGTCCTGCCTCAGAGTCCCCTCCGATCCGTGGGAGCCTGACCTGCTCCGCAGAGTGGTCCTGTGCCTTGACGCCAGTTTATCACCCACCATGGTTGCAAGCGCATGGATGAGGAAGGAATCCCCATGGCTGCCGCCTCCCCTGCCCCTCTGGCTTCCGATAAGACATCAAGCCCAGAGCATGCCTCTGCCCCAGGAGGAAGGAGATGCAAGTGCGTTGCTCTGCTGGACACAAAGCCGCTCACTCCTCTCCTCGCCATGGAGCATTGATCTTCAGGGCCCCCATGACTAAAGGAGTGGGGAAAATTCCCATGGAACAAGCTGCTCCCTCTTTCTTTTCCCTGCTTAAGAGGTAAGAGCCGCACAAATTCCCACTTTAGTAGTCACCTAAGAGAGAATATTATGACTGATCTGTCATCAAAGTATTTAGAGCTGATGACAATATCTGGGTTGGGGTTTGAGGTGGGGTTTTTTGGGGTTGTTTTTTTTTTTTACTGTGATGTTTAAACAAAATCAAGAAATCACAGGGATATGACAAGAAACGGGTTGTTTCGCATTGGCAGTAGCTGCTGGTTATACTTGTCCAAATGTACAGAAATGCCCTGATGGTTACTTACCAATGACAACCTGCTCAGGGCTTAACATTTTTCAGTTTCATGGCAAGCTTGCAAGGTTACACATATATACTGAATGAAACATAGCCCACTGGTTATTTTTAGAGAGGCTCTAAACAAGAAGTAAATCCCTGGAGTAGTGCTGCCAGAGATGCATAAAGATCAAATCCAAATTAAAACTGCCTATCTTTGGACTAAATTCCAACCTGAAATTGAGGAAAACTGTGATCTATACCTTGAACTTTATGACGAAAAGTCCTTTGCAATTACTTTCTAACACCTGAGAATATATGAGCGTGGTACAAACACTTGGAAATTAGAACTTGAATGAAAAATATGAACATTTGTCCAAGAATGTAGTACCTGATCTGGTGAGACATTGTTGCATGACTTTAAGTTACAGTAGCTGCACTGGAATTTGGAGATTCCGATTTACTGTGATTCCTAGTTCTAACACATCTTTGTAAGACCAAGTCCTGTAACATAATTGTAAACTTGGGGGCAGGAAGAGCAACATGCTTACTTACCTTTACAGATCTCTTTAATAATGACCTCTGACGTGCAAGACTTGGTTTAGAAATCACCGAGATACAATATGAAGAAAGTAGACCCCTTCTCAGCAACATATTTATACAAAGCAGTTGAAAGTAGTGCAACTGAAGCATGTTCTTGATTTCTTTGCTGAATCAGAGCCTGTATCTTCTTCCTGCCAAGGCAGCGATCTTAATACCACTCCTAAATGTACTAGTAATTCTAGAAGCCCTAATGAAAGTCAAGATAATGCCACAGATTTTATAAATAAGGGTCTTTATTTAGAATACTGGTGAAAACATTCTTGGCAACCACATCGTATAAATATATAAAGTTAAAGTTTGACACTACAAACCAAGCAATATTAAATATTTTTGATTTTTTCCCCTTTTTGTTTTGTGTTTAATTTTTGCCTTTGTTTCTTTTTTTCCCCCTTTATTTTCCTCTTTTTTTCCTTTATTTTCCTCTTTTTTTCCTTTTTTTTGCAAAGCAACTCTTATTTACAATTATACAAAAAGTTTTATAAAAAATGGTCCACAACCTTATTTTGGCCAGAACAGGAGTAATAGGAGGGTTCTGTCATGGCACTACTGTTGTAGATTTCTGTTCTCCTCCACATTCAAGAGCCAGGTTCCTATTCCCCAAAGCCCAGATCAAACATTGGCCATTTCATGGTATACAATTTTATCTCTAGACATATTAAATAACTTTAGTTTACCAACCAATAAATAACTAGGTGTATTTTGAAGTAATACAGGTTTGAAAAGTTATCTATCTGAAGGAATTTTGAGTGATATTTTAAAACTGGAACAAGTCTTGAGAAGTCTTTTCAGTCTTAGAAGGCAGGTCTTGGAGCGTGGCTGAGCAGAGCAATTTGTTTCCAGTGCAGTCCCGCTGGACCTGCCTTTATAGCACTTGGTAGATAGGGTTGCTGCTGCTGCTGCTGCTGTTCTCCTGGGGAAGTGGGGTGCAGTTGGTGGGGGAAGGAATTTGGGCTCCACTATCATTCAGGCTCGCTCCTTCTGGGGGGGAACAGGGACTCCCTTCAGCAACAGTTTCCACCGGAGGCAGTATAGGACATGTGGAGTTATCTGTGGAAATCCTCTCTACAATGCTCGAGAGGCAATCAAGGCTGGAAACAACAGAACTCTTCCCATGCTTTGGATCTAAAAAACAGACAATAAGGTGCTCAGTTTATCCGGCGGGTACTTAACATCAGTAGGATGTAGTTCTTTCATAAAACCCCAGTGAGTGGCTGACAGTACGCCACTGTGAGCACGTAAAGATTCAGGGGAAATGAATGTCGGTGAAGGATGCCAATTACCCAAAAACAGAGACTGGAATTTGCAAAATGGAAGACAGACCCAACCAAAGTATGATACTTTTGGGGCAAGGTGGATCCAGGGCTTCACGTCAGTCCATAGAAAGGGAAAGGAAGATTTGAAATCAATCGACAATTTCTCCAGTTTGGGTCAATGACAGAGTTAAAAAAGTCTTCAAGCAAAACATGGTTAAACACTGAAAATTAGTCGGAGAGAGGAATGTACTTTTATCCAGATGTTATATTTTCAAAACCGGAAATGCAGCTATAACATATCACAGTTATTTGCAAATACATCTAGGGGAAATCCAGTGCTTCTACTAGCATCAACAGCTCGCTGGCTGAAAAGGCAGGTTCCTCTTTCAGCCCAGCTGGGGTCAGCTAAACAACTGGGGACGGAGAAGGCACGGGGAAGTTTGCTGCAATGACTGCCTCCGTCCCCGTGTTTCACATGGCCGTGACGGCACTTACTCACCATTTGGCGATTCTGTGTAGTAGCTGCTGTCGTAGCTGTTTCTTCGGCGAGAGCTGCAAGGAGGCCCGCTGTACTCCATCTGGAAAGGAGAGCAATCTGAGTGAGGTCACTGGTTGGGGACAGCATTTACCGAAATCCCAGTAACCAACCAGTTCCATATTTCAGTCCCTAGTCTGTGGCATTGTTCTAGTCCTGGCTGAATTTTTTTTGAATGAGGCAGAACTTAATTTGGCTAGAAGGGGATTCACCCCAGAGTATTTTATGTGGCACAGCTGTTCCAAAGGAAAATTACCATTGTTGTTGTATCGAATGTTGCAGATTTACAAACGATACGAGGTTTTCCAACATTCTGATCAGACACTGCCCTACCTGTACCTTCAATTTACAACAGGGAGACCAAGAGGGTAATGAGACTTTTTTTTGGTTTAATTTTTGAAGTTTTTTCCAAACACAAATTCATCTTAAAAAGCCTCACCTCTTTGCCCCTTGTTATTTCCTTTAGTTTCGTTGCCCATTTCCATTTTGTACAGAAAAAGCCCCAAAACATTGACCAATATATTTGTTTCCAATACTTTAACCCACAATGAAATTACTCTTTCTGACAAGAGAAAAAGGCTGTATCATGAGGAGGGATGATTTGTGTAAATCTTCTCTCCAATCCACCAACCATCTCATAATTGCAGATATTCAACTCAGTAATGATTATCTCCACCACAGCACAGGAAAAAAAATCTCAAGTCTTAAAGCGCTGTCGTTATCCCATCCCAGACAGCTGTCCTGCACACCAGTCACCATGTCCCACCACCCCAGAGTCCGACCAGAGACCAAGCCTCAGACCCAGTGAAAGGATACAGTGATTAGACACCCTCTCTGGCACCCACCCTTGTTCTCCCCTCCCCATAACATACAAACAGGACTGAAAGCCTGGCGACTCTTTCCTATCGCTGGTAAAAGTCTATGGGGGGATGAAGTGCAAGGAGAGATGGAGAACCTTTTCCTTAAGGGTCAAGGAAAACAACCCCTGTTGCATAGACCCTCCTCCTGTTATCATGACGAATGGCAGAAAACAAACCCCAGACTCTTTATCAGCTCCCCTGTAACTACCATGACCGAGGGGGGACCTTCCTCTCTGCTGTCCTTAAAGGATTCAAGGGTATTGACACAGCAGAAGATGGAAACAGAGATGTCTCAAGAGCTGCGGGAGCACAGGCAGGGCTCAGACCTCACCACGCCCCCAGGTACCCATCCCAGGCAGCTTCCCAAAGTGCTTCCCCAGCAGCTCTCCCCTAGGGCACAGGAGGACCTGCCCAACTTCTCATCCCAGGGAAAAAAAACTGTGTAAGAGATTTTTCTCTTCTTTCCCAGAGATCCTGGCATGCGGGGACCCCACCTCCCTTTGCTGCTGGAGCTCAAGGCACAAGAAAGGACTTTGTCTTCTGCCTGGGGAGGTACGGAAGGCAGCTACAATAGGAGAGACAGGAGGAGGTGACTCGCCCTGCACAGGTTTGGACCAACAGCGTCTGGGGCGCCTCGGTGGCAGGGTGTCCTCCCTGGCGCACTCACCATGCCGTCGGAGCAGTTGGAGCGAGGGCTGGAGGCGTCCGATTCCCCGCTGTAGTGCTCCAGCACTGGGTAGTAAGCGTCCTCCTGCTCCCGCAGCAGTGCCTGCAGGCTCTCGATGTAGCGGATAGCATTGCGCAGGATCTCCACCTTGGGCAAGCGCTGGTTAGGGTTGGTGGAGGTGCAGCGCTTGAGGGTCTCAAAGGCCTCATTGACCTTGCTGAGCCGCCGCCGCTCCCTCATGGTGGCCGCCTTACGGCGGTCGGCATTGGTGGTCTTCCTCTTGCAAGCCTTGCAGGCCCACAGCAGGCAGCGGCCGGCCTGGTGGTGCCCGCTGGGCGCTCGGACGTGCTCCTCTTCATGCGGGTGCCCGTGGTGGTGCCCGTGGTGGTGCGGGTGCTCCTCGGGCTTCAGCAAGCCCCCGACGTGCACCAGCCGGGGGTCCAGGTCCTCGAAGAAGTGCATGTCCGACGTGTTGAAGCACGGGTCATCGTAGAAGTCATCAGCGGCTGCAAAGGAGCAGAGGGAGCCCTCCGTCATCTCCATGGGGCCCAGTAAGTCCATGGGGGCAGCAGAGGAGACAGTGGCTGGGCCAGAGGGGGCAAGTGAGG